CATTTTAGAATATTTTTGTCTAAGTGTGAAAAGAAAGCATTTTAGGCAAAAAGCCTCACAAACATAAAATTTAAATTAAACACTGTCTGCTCATGATAATTCTGACAAAGTGTTTTTCAAAAACCTCTTCATTCTGTTTTCGTACTTTTTCAGATTTATTCAAGATTTATTCACCTCTCAGATTTTTTCTAAGTGTTTAAAACAACAGCTACACCGAGCCTGAGAGGGATTAGGATGCTTTTAGTGCAACTTCCACCCAAACAACTTCATCAATGTAGGTCACCTGCCAATCTAAACCAACAAGATGACTTATCTGCCCACAAGCGTCAGATCACAGAGGGAGTGGGTGGCACCCGATGGTCTGGCCACATTCCGGCTGGCTGTAGCCTAAACCTGGCAGTCCTTAGGTATTATGGATTTGAATCTGGTCCATGACCTTTTTCCTATGTTGTCCTCTTCCCTATCCCCCCTATTCCTGTCCCTCTCTGTCTCTCTTTAATGAAGCAGACAATAGATAAAACCGCAGCTTAGAGACATGTTGAAAGATTATCGAAGGCACCTCTGCTCTTTTCAGAAAACTGAACTTTTAGCACGCTCCCTAGATTCACACTACGGACTCATACAGAAACATACAAAGACAGATGGTAGTATCCTTTTCATACACCAGCAAATATCTGTTTTTAAATCTGTGGCTCACCAGAGTACAATATGTTACAGAGTTTTCTTGAAAGCCTGAACTTTACTTTTAATTCAGCAGACACAGTGTTGTGGCAAATTCTTTTAAGTTTGTCCCCTTGGTGCCTCTAAATAACATCTGGTTAGCGCTATTAGTATTTGCTCCAAAAACCAAGGGACCCAGCGAGCTGTAAACCCTCTTTAGCCAACTCCTTCTGGGGTGAAAAGTGGTGAGTCTAACTAACCAATTAAAATCCCAAGCATCCACACATTACTTTCAGGAATCCTGCATTTTATGTGTCATACTTTCGATCGCGCTGCATCGGGAGTGTAAGTGCGTGTTTTTATGTGGCTTTCGTGTCTTAGAGTTGTCAAACCTTTATGTTACGACATCATGAGACATCAGACACATGAATGATTGAGGAGAAAAACGAACAGCACATGCAATACTAATTCAACCCATCTGAAAGTCCTATCATCCCCCTATCCCTCTCCCTTTCCCAGTTGGTAATAAGAGCTCCAGACTCCCAACTTTAAGTATTCATAGAGAAGAGATAAGCCCCTCTGCTCTGACGAGGAAAAAAACCCTACTGCAATGATAAACAGCTGCCAGAGAAAAAAAAATAATATTCCTCAACAGAGTGAGAGAAAAGGCTTATGTTTATGATTTCTGAAAACAACTTTATTTCTGACCTCTCCATAATCCCCAGAAAGTCTTTCAATTAGAGAATGGCTGAGATTCCTCCTATTACTGAGCGCCCTGCTCCCAGACAGACCGAGCAGAGAGGGAGATAATTGGCCAATAAAAATGTAAATAGGATGGTGGAGCAAACCAGCATGTGATTTGGAGGAGGGGGGAGTGGGTGAGGGAGGGAGTGGAGGTTTTGGAATAATCCACTGTGACAGGTTGTGTTGGTTTTGTGAGTTGCTAATTGGATGCTCACCGAGTTCTTTTCTGCACAAATACCATAAGACCACGCGAGCAAGATTATTGATGACAGCAAAACGAGAAGAGGGAGGGTCCGAGCCGGGGCAGTTTAAACAGGATCCCCCTCCCCCACCTGACCTCTGCAATGAAGATTTGGAAAACAGGTGAAAGTCTTTGGAAAGACATGATTCGATTTGTTTGCGTTACAGTACGAAGAAGGGTTAGACCTGTAATTGGATTTAAGAACAGGTGAGAAAGAGCTTTAATCAAAATATTGATATGATCAAGTGTATTCTAGTTACAACAAATTGAATGAAGAATTATTCAGTGTACAGTTACATTTGTTATTGAAGAGTTCAGTTTTTATTTTAGCTACTGAAACCATGTCCATATTTGTTGTTCTTAAGAACATTGCTCTATGCAGGTATGCCTTCTGGTGTGCTGTAGCACATTGTGGTCTGTAGAGATGTTCTATAGCAACTTATTTTATAGTCCAACTTCCAAGCTAGAAGAGATGGGAATTGTGGAGTCACCAAGTCATCTCCATGCCATGTATTTGTTCTGCTCTGTCACTGAACCAGCTGCTTCCAATGAGCAGCCAGGAAGGTGAGCTCATTAGTGAAGGCACCTGGTTCAGCAACTGAGCAGAACAAATACATGGCATGGAGATGACTTGGTGACTCCACAATTCCCATCTCTGCAAGCTAGACCAAACATAGAGGAACAAAACTTATTCAGCACAGCTAGACACTGGGTCACAGAGTCTGGGGTAAACAGTGTCAAATTGGTTTGCCAGAGGTGGCTAACATTAGCAGTGGGGCTGCAAGTAACAACGATTTTAATGGTCGACTAATCGAATAATTATGAATTTTTCTTTTCTGCATTGCAAACTTTGCAAGTTATTTTTTTCACCTTATCTAGGCTCAAGGGCTCCCAAACTTTTGAGGTTTTTAAGCGCGTACCCATAGCTGCAGTATGGGACATTGGCGCCGCCATGTTTCAATACCCTACCGCTCGACGGAGACGCTATTGCACATGTGTGACTCTAGGCAGAGATCAAATGAAGTAAGATGCCTCACTCCACTGGAAAAAACACGTCTTCAACAACAGGCGACTTTTTTCATTATTGATTTTTGTGGACAACATCAGCTAATCGTTGCAGCCCTAATTAGCAGAGCTAGCACTGTCAGCCTGAAGTCCTCCATGTGGAGTTGGTTTTGCCTATCTTTATTTACAAGTCAGTTCACCATACAGAGACTACATAATACTGCCAAACTGTGAAACACGTCCAGTCGTCTGCGTTTACCTACATCTGTGTTTCAGGGCGTTAACCCTTTGAAACAGTGATCAGTTATTGTTGTTGGTACCTGGTGGCTGCTTAGATCAGGCTTTCACTACCTTGGGGTTGCAACTGCAAATGGGTTTACGGGAAATCTACATGAGTTCATATGAAATGTCTTTTATTTTTCAACTAAAAAATATGTACAGTATTTTACTAAAACAATGAAAATACTACAAGGGGTGTAAATTTTCTGTTCAAAAGAGCAGAAATTTGATGACTGATGACGTTCACTGGTAAGTGAAACAATCCCAGGCAGTCTTATCAAATGTTCTTATAATGTTAAGAAAACAGATACTAAAAAGGGAAAAACGAACAGAAAAATAGAAACTAGCTGGCAAACAAATCAATTCAAAATCCATTGTCTATTTGAAGAATGCAAAGTACATTATTTCCTCATTTCATGAAAAGCAGATAGAGCAAATGGACAACTACAAAATGGAAAAAACCTTTCACAAAGACTGAGGGAAATTAGTTTTTTTTTTTTTCACTGTTTGGAGAAATGTCTCTCCGTCAACATGTTGTGGAAAAATAACAGGCTGAGGATTTATATTTGTGTATGTGTGTCTGCTCATGTACAAATGTTAAACTGTGTGTGCTGGGGTTTTTGTCAGACACAAAGAGTTCTTCATTAAGGCAGTGTGCTGACAAAGAGATTTTTTTTCTTTTCCCAGCTTCTTCTACTCATCGTGGTGATAATTCACACACAAAATCATTCACTGTTGGAAGGATGCACAGCTGAACTGCCTTTAATCACTGATTATTTCATCGCGTTTTCTCAAACCTTCAGGTCTCCTAGGTCTCCCAGCATGGCCCTTTGATATGTTTCATCACTCTGGAGAAACAAAGACGGCCGCCACACTTTGAAATCACAGAGAAAGGGAGAGCATTAGACAGCTCTTTCTTTGAAAAACAAAGAAATCTGTAAAGGGAAAGAGGATGCAGACAAATAGCTGGCATAGTGATCCCCTCTCCTTCACAAATTCTTTTACAAAGAGAGAAAAATCCTTTAAAGTTTGGAAGAAACCCTTTCTAAATCAGACCAAACAGAGAAGTTGCTTCTTCTTAAAGTTACATCCACAATTCTTTTGAGATGGTCAGATCCACAGGGATAAAAACTCAAACTGAGGATAACAGGATGTTCCAAAAGGAGCTGAGTAAAGTCTATCAAACAACACAGGCCTATGTGACACTTTGCATCAATATAATGACGATATGCAGTTATACATATTTACCTTATAAACCTCTTAAAATGGCTTTTGACCCTTTAATTTTACCAGTAAATGGACTGTGATAACTAGAACGAATTACTTCAACAAGCACACCAGATAAATTTGGTTAGTTAAGTTTCAGACTGGCATAAAATTATTTCCAAGGAAAGCCAAAGTTTTGTGAAACTAAAACCAAATTTAAAATTATATTTACTTTGTTGCTCTATAAAAAGAGGAAAACTTGAAGCGGTGGACACACTGACCATAGCTAGAAAGCACAGGGGAGATCTCCTCCAGGGTCAGCATTGGGGTTAACTCCCTTACCAGCAGTGGAAAACTTGATACCTTCATTGGTAAAGAAGCTTGGAAATGACAAAACAATGATGGGCAAACATTTGGTCTAGGGCTGCACGATATTGGAAAAAATTAACATTGCAATTTTTTTCAACCCTGCGATATATATTGTGATATAAAAAGATACTGGAATTTTCACCTGATGACCTGAATAGCACTTTATGTTATGCTGCACTGCTGAAATCTTGAGGAAAGTTAACCTGCACTGATCTTACCTCTTTTTATGAATGTTAGTATTTGAAAAATAACATGGTCAAATGTTATAACTTGTAAAACTATGGTATTTAAACATGAATTGTATCGCTTCAGCATGCTGTGTTCTTACATGTTATAAATATGAACTTAATTGATTCTCAAATAATATAAAATGTGAATCTCATCAGTTTGGCATCTCTCTCTCTCTGGCTCACACACACGTACTTCAGTGCCTTCTAATCTCTGTCTCTAAAGGCTTTAGGTTCCGCTGCAATGCAGCTCTAACAGTCTGCTTTACCTGGAACTTGGTTCATCACTAAGAATATTTTTATGTTTTTGAACTGCAGTGCACTCCTCTGGTGTCGAGCTTCTGTGGTGACAGCCTGTTTACCTGAGTAGACAGAAAACAAACATGTTTAAGGTTTTAGTGTTCGAGTTAGATTTTCACATTAACAGTTACACTAAATATTTTGTCACAAAGATCATCATTCAGAGCTCAAACTTGACTTGTATAATTGTTTAAGTTTATACTTAAGGCATAAACAGTAAAAACACAAAAGTTGATGAGATGACAAAATGAGTGTTAAAATCCATCAAAGTCACACAATAAATTATTTTGGAACAGAGTGATATTCTCTTAATAATGCTGTAAACTTAGACAAATACTTCACTGAAATATGGAGAAACATCTGAATTTCTAACCCTGACTACAAAGTTTGACTTTGATATCCTTTAGTGATTAAACTGGGTTAATGTCTACCTTCAAGCCTTTATTTGTGTATATGTTAGGTTATAATTTAAGGTATAGACTAATCAAAAAAAAAAAAAAGATTCATGCTACATATTAATGTCTTCTTGCAACTTTATAATTGATTAGGACCTTAGGGAATACTAAGTCTCCCCCCCTGCACATCAGCACATACATGTTTCCCCTGATTTCATTTATATAAATAGCACACTTACTTAATTCTGTCAGTAGTTTTACCGGACTGCATCATATAAATGACTCCAGTAACAATAGATTCATTGATGCATTTACACTGAGTATCATGCAAACATTTTTTTTTTCTCTCAGAAGATCAAGTACCAGGATATGAATGGGCTCATCTCTCTTCTTAGACATCCTTTGGTTTTGAGCAGATGTTGCAGAGGTTCTCTGTTGTAGTGATGTCAAACTGCCCTCATCACCTGACTTGTGTGCTTCTGTTAAACCAGCTTCTATGAACAGAAAATAGTTTATGGGGCACACAGAGCAGGTTGAAATCCGTCCCTGTCATGCAAAACCAAACTAGCACTCATAGCAGCTGATGTCGACAGCCATGTGCACTGACTCTTTGACTTTACACGGCAGTACCCTTGTACTAACAAAATAAACAAGTAAAAACAGGCTTTTAATAAAGCAGTCACTCCTCACCCTGTGATACTACCGTTCCTTTTATTCCATCTATAAAAGAGTAATATCAAAGTAAAGTTGTTCAAAGCCGGTTTCAATAATAAGTGATTTGTTTTTGTTTTTTTTCAAAATGACCCATTAAAAGGTTATTGCTATTCAGAATGTTGGTCTCACCAGAATACTCTTTATTTAGAACAACTTCATAGCAGGGTGATGATGCAGGCTGGTTTGCCACACTCTCATCACTCTCACTGTTGGAATAAGTGTGGGGCCCACCGTTTTGGGCCCCATGAGGTGGCCTCATACCGTTGGTGTGCTCCCAGTACCTGGGCCGCACGATGGGGCAAATGTGAGAACACACACACACACACACACCTTAGTGCTCAAATGATTTCAAAAAGACTCAATGTGCGCAAGCCCCATGAAGCAACTGCTTCTTTCATCCCCATTGCAATGTTATCACTCGTGTGATGCTCTGGGAAATACGCAGCTTGCAGACAGCGGTTTCTGAGTTGGAACTCCCGATTTGAAGTGGATAGTCAGACTAATGTATGGCTCCGTTGTCCTATTGGACCACAAATCTGTTGTCACTGCATAGTATTCATCATCTGACAGCTCTATTTCAACTTCTTTTCTGTTTTTCTGTTATTTCTTTCTGCCGTTTGGAACCTTTCTCATACGGCGTAACACTTGCAAAGGCTTCTGAAATGTTTTTTTTGTTTTGGATGACATTCAGATCTGGCTTTGCATTCATCATACTTAACTGTGTGGTCTCAACATAAATGTTGAAACAAGTTAGTTGTGTTACCTCTCGTGGCAACAAATGAAAGGCACTGCCAACACAGAACAGGTGTTTGGTCGACATCCTCCCCCTCGTAACCGAAATAATTCCAATAATTCTAACTGATGTTGCTTTTCTTTTTGGCAGCAAGTCTTCATTTTCGGTGTTTTTCTCGCTCATTTTGCAATTATTGTTGTTGTTGTCATCGTTACCAGCAGCGCTAGCGGCCCACTCCATGTGAAGGGGTGTGGTTTCCTCCGCTCTGATTTCGATTGTTGGCTGGCAGGGTCGTCTGATTGGCAACTGAGTAAAGAACGAATGTGATTGGTGGATCGCTGCACAGCACATGCAGAGTCTACATGCAAAGTATGTCAGTCAGCTACCCTTGAAATTATATGCTTATATGTTCATTCACCTCCTACATCACAGGCTCTGCAATGTGACTATCGTGTACACGTACACTGCAATGACGATGCTCAAACGATATATCTCGCAGCCCTAATTTGGTCAGGTCAGCGAGACAGGCTCAGAATTTGAAATATCTTTTTGAGTAATTTTCTAATTTTAGCAGGCGTTCGCATGCAACTTCCAACATGAAAAAAAGGGAAATGGAGAGAGTAGTCCGTTTAAACAAAATACCTATAGCAGCTTGCCAAATCGATAACTAAGCAATAGGATAGGCCACCTTAGCCGGGAAAGGTTACTTAGTTATCTAAATAGCATTTTAAAAACAAAGAAAACTGAACATTGGTCAGAATTCAACTGCATGAAATAAAAAGTCAGCATCCACTCACTGGATATAGCCTTTCAACTGACCCCTGACTGACTGATTCCCAGAAGTTTAGCCCAGCCAGACTGCCAGAGAAAGCTGATATGCTGTCTGAGGTCTGACGACAGTGGATAAACTCAGAAAGGTCCTGAACTGGCTGCTAGATTGCAGTGAAAGGCACGACATGTCCATCAGATGGACATTTTGAGCCCCACAAAAAGCAATTATCTGCATTCACATCAATTTTTTTTCAAATAATAATTGTACAGAATTTGCATGTAAAAATTATGCTTTAAGTTAAAAATATCTGCAACATTTAAAACTCTCTTAGATGTGTGCCTCTCCAAACCAGTCAAGAAGCATCCATCAGTGTTTAAGACTGTCAATGTGTCTTAATGTTCTTTTTTGTAAAACAAAATGAAACCAAAGCTTTCAGATGGACTCAGACATTATATCTTTACATTCTATTACTCTAATAGGAGCCCAATGCTGAGGACTAAGGTAACTTTATAAAAATACTGTGAAGCAATTAAGGACTAATGAAATGAAGATTATCAAGGATGTTTGGTGTTAAAGCTTAAAACATGAATGTTTATCCACTTGGTCCAAAGCTAGTAACTGTATTTTGGTATTTAGGGATGTTTCTGGTCAGTTAAACTTAGTGTAAAGAGGGTAATTTGATCAAGAAATTATGTCTGCACTTCTGTGTGAGCTGTCTTATTCTGCGCTGTCACTAAATTTGGTGAAACCTGACACCTAGAGAGCAGACATGGGATCTTTATCCAACAATGTGTCTCTCCTGTCAGGTGTAGGATGTACCCTTTACTTTAGGATGAAGATGTCAATTACCTTTTGTAAAATGTACTAAAAAATGACATTTGCCTGAAGCTAACTGATTGTGACTACAATACAGCAGCCCAGCTTCAGAGGGTAATAGCATATAGATTCTGGCTGAATTAGACCGCCTTGCCAAATTCAGCTTTGACAAAGGAAGCACAAACACACGTGAATGCAGCCAAATGTAGAGTCCACCGGGAGGATTAGTTGGCAGGACAGTGCTAATCTCTCTATCTTCTCCTCTGTCTACTTTTTTAGATCTTTCATTCAGCTGCTTCATCAGACCCCTGAGAAAAGACTAACCTCAGCCTGAACCCGCATCTCACCTCAAATATGACAGCTTACACTCCCCTCTCATCTCCCTGTTCCGCTCTGACTCTGACACACACACTGAGGAAGACAGTCACACATACACACTCATCTCAGTTTTCCTCTCATCTCAACCCTCACATGCACAGGAAAGTTTGCAACTTCTCTCTTCCCTTTTCACTCTGGCGCGATCACACATACACACACATCCCAGCAGGGGAGCTCAACTTTGGAGAGAGTGAAAGGGAAGAGGAGATGGTAGAGGGAAGAAAGGGCTGGAGAAATGTAAGATCTGTCACGGTGACCTTTGATGGTGACAACTGTGAGAGCACTGCCATACAACCGCTGTCTTTATACCTCTGTCGCTCCCTCACATCCTCTCAGAAATATTTTAGATGAAGAGAAACTCCTGTTTGTTCAAAGCGGTGAGAAGTCGTGTTTTGAAGTCGTGTCAACTGAAGCAACTCAATTGGTTGCATACTTTCAGCAGATTACGAAAGTAAATCATTTGATCATCTTTTGTTGCTCGTGAAGAGTAAGACAACAACTGCCTACCCCTGATTCTATATGTAAGCTCTACATGAATGTGTTTGACATAGGTTTATGGCCATAGATTGAAGGGTGGATACAGAGTAGATGCTGGAACATGGATGCATATACAAACTTAAAAACAGATTCAGAGAATAAAATATATGACGTAAATAAGGGCAAAGGCGTCAGTTTAGCGGGGGATGGGGAGGAAGTGCCTCCCCTTTTCCCTGGACTCTCCCGTATTTCAGACCTATCTCCCACCCACCTCCTGTATTGTCATTTCTCCCGGGAATCTCCTGTAGTTTGCATGGTCCCCGTTCATTCATGAATTGGATCACTATATTTGTCCAAAGTTTCCAGGTTTCCAGAAAACCGAAGATTGTCCTGTGTTTCTGCTGAGCCTCACAGACACTGGATTCATACTTTGACTTTACAATTTGGGATGATTCAGGTTGGTTTAAGCTGTAAACTCTATTTAAGCAGTGTTTGTTGCAAAATGAAAACTTCAATGGACGTTATAATATTTACGCTGATAGTCCTGCACCGTCTCGGAGTCAGGCGTTCAGGGCAGCCTCAGATAAAAGAGTGCTGTATTGTACGCACAGATGTTCAGAGAGCCTCAAACGAGAGAGCACGTGAAACATATGAAGACTTTAACACCAATATTAGTGGACTAAATAAATTCAAGGCATATCATAGCTATAATTTTTTTAGTACCATTTGTTATTGTTAAAACAAACCAAAAAAGTGTGTCTTGTCTTGTAGTGCTCTACAAGCAATTTCAGATCTTACATTTCTCCAGCATTTCCATTAAAACAGGTCTACCTGCTCCATAGTGAATTTCAACTGAGGACTTAGTTTTCTTGAGTCCCAAAATATGAAATTATACTAGCTGTGGCTGTTAGTTGTATTAATGTAGGACTGTAACGACTGACAATCACAGCTACATCATAGTTTCACCAAAACTGAGTTCAATCAGTGTCATGAAAAAAGTGCATCATCTCATTAACTGCATGACAGCACTACCCAAAGTGCACTTATGGCACTTACTTGTGTTGTTTTCTTCTATCAAGATCGTTGCTTGAATTGTATTTGCTCTCAAATGTAAGTTGCTTTGGACCAAAACTTCTGCTAAATGACTCAAAACAAAGTCTGTACTGTATACCAGCCACAACTGCCTGTCAACAACAATGCTTGGGTGTACATACTGCAATTACTGTTGTATACAGTGACACTGACATTATATATATTAATGTTAATTGTTCCTCTCCAATCAGAAATTGGATCGTATTTTTCCACAATGCAAACTTTTTTGGCACATTGGCGAACATAACCTGTATTAGCGAAAGAAAACAGCGGACATTGTTGAGCTGTTTTGTTTAGTTGTCCTCCTTTGTGTGACCACCATCATAATCAACCATAAATGTCATAGAAGGACTCATACCCCCTCTTTTAGACGCTTTGCTGTACACACTTTACTTTTTATCATTTTCCTCTAAACATCTGCACTGCGCCTCTTAAATGTTACACCTAAAGGACTTATAGATAGCAGGTATTTGTTGAGTTTTTTTAAAGGTAGCATTTCAGAGTCAATCCCTTCATATCTTACTTTCAAAGGGCTGTTGGCTGCTCTGTGTGGGTGTGCTTTAAGCTTCAGATGGAGAGCTCAAAATAGTTCTAACAAAAAGTACTTAATGAGCGGCTTTCCCTGCCTGATCTGTTGTGATGTTGACTACTATTCTAAGAATAAAGCCTTTGTAACGGCACGCAAACACAGACACACACAGTGGTGTCAGTAACTGATGCTCCACCTTGTCACCAATCAGTGTTTCCCCCAGTTACATCTTACTCTGGATACTGTTTGTTTTCTCTCATTAAACCCCCAACTTCTTTTTTTCTTTCCAATGGTTATTTGCTCTTTTCAAAGCTCAAATACATAAATAAAAGTTTTTGGTAGAGACAGTTTTTGTTGCTTGACAATGACAATAACATTTAAGGTCCTCGTGTAAAAATCAAAAGCATTAATTGGTTTCATCCCTCTGAAAACTTCAGTTTTTAAATTTTTCACAGAAGTCCC